CCATTCAGACATCCTGAATAAAAATATTGTTTATAAAAAAAAAAATAAAAAAAAACCCTCAAGGGTTCTTGTACGTGCACGCCAGTTTAGCTTCTAAATTCTATATTGTAACGGTGTCTTGTCTTGTCTTGTTCGCCTCTACAAACTATATATATACACATTTCGAGGCATTGTGCAAGTAAAAATAGTTTCAAATGCAAAATTCTGAACACATATCACAGTTCGCATTTAAATAAGTTGGCCTAGTTATGTTACAAATAGTGGAACACTGAAATAGTTACCCAACAGTTTTCTATACATTTTCGAGGTTACGTTTGATCCAGCGCGTGTTCTAATTCTGGTTTGGCAGATATTTTAAAACAACAGAAATATCGCGTAGCCGTAGGATGTTTTTGAATTAATGCGGTAAGGTTTTGCCTTTATTTCAATGCGGATTGGTTTATTTTATGTTAAGCTATGCGCACTTGCAGGGACGGATCAAGGATTTTCAGCAGGTCTACAAGTTCTGTAAATTTCCCTCACCAGACGGCCGATCGCACACTTGTGGTAATATTCGGGCGTCTTTAAATAGTCATCTGATTAAATCCCCTCGAACCGTTTAACGAACCGTACGTAAAGATGCGTACGCACCACTGTGTTCAATAGTTAAGTTGTGGATCATACTCCTGGTTGTCGATTTGCCCATAAGTCTTACATGCTTTGTGAAATGGGACTCCCTTCGATACTATTGAAGACGTAGTGTTAATCGCACACCACCCAGTAAACACGTCACCCTGATTTAAAGCATTTTAATTTATGTACGAATAGAAATAACAGTATTGTCCTCAGCCTGCTTGTGTTTAAATGCCCCCCCCCCCCCCGTCACCCCCACCTTCCCAGTCATATGTGATAAATTGTCATTTTTTAAGATACATACCAATGAAACTATTAATATTTATAATCCTTTAGTGGCATTTAGCGATTGGAAACATGACGGAACTAACACAATTATGTTGGAAAACAATCACTGGTTTATTATACACAAGCACGACGTTTCGATAAATATCCTCTTATCGATATCAAGCACAATGCCATTCCGTGTGTGTGTGTGTGAAATAGCTTTATTCAACGTCCGCTTCCGCCGAGGTGATATCGCAGACAATAACATGTTATATATACATAGTTAATTTATTTACCATGTGATTAGCGAAAATGGATTTAAAATGATTAATTAGTATTTATATATATATATATATATATATATATATATATATATATATATATATATATATATATATATATGTGTGTACAGAGCAAAACAATAAGTGACGGAACGAGACGTTATAACAAGTGCTGGAAAAAAAGGTGCGAATAGAGATATAGACATTTTACAGACAGATATACATCGTACAGCACAACACGAACATTTGACAGAACGGACAGCAAAAAAAATAAAACAAATAAATAAGTAATAAAAAAATAGATAAATGAATAAGAACTGAAATTATATGGCATTACCACTTAGTAAATGAAATGGGATTTAACGTCCTAGTACTGTTCTGCTCCGAACTGGGCTAATGAAGACGGACCATTTAGTAAACTATAACTTAAACAGACAAATGAGTAGCGAAAACTACTACTACTTGTTAGTTGTGTTTTACGTCCGCTTCCACCGAGGTGATATCGCAGACAAAACTGTGAGGTCTATGTATATGAATGTACAACGTGAAGCCATACTTAATTAATTGTTAATGATTAGGGGAGTTCATATAGTTCTTTGTCGGTAAATATAAAATCTATATGAGCTCCTTTAATAATCAATAACAATTTATTAAAGATACTTTCCCAGGAAAGTATTTATCGGGTGGTTATTTCCAATAAAAGTATGGCAATTTTGGTATATATGGAAAGTAGAAACATCCAATCTTACCAGAAAAATACTGGATTCCCTGAAAAACACGCATGGAGTACATACATCAGGACAAAAATGTGAGTGTTGCTCGAGTAACGTGAAAGGTAGCACGCGGAGATTGTCTTATCTCGCAGCGTTAGTGAGCGCTTGATGTATACGTTGATAAAATTGATGAGATAAGAAATACGGAAAAAGATTTGGGAAGTGGATAATCCGAGAAATTATTGGGCTTCGATATTTAGGATAAATAATCAGCAATTAAAGACAACATCGTCTTGTATATGCAATGAATCTTCCCCCTCCTTCGAATCCGTGACTAGGTACCGAGAGAGCCATGCAAGTCAATTGGCACAAACCTCTTTTGGTCGAATTTTTATAGCAGGAGTATTCCCTGACAAATACACCGTTTTGAGAAGGATTTGAAGCAAAATTATGATAAATTAATTAGTTTGAATATGTTTTTAGTCCAAATATATCATTAAATCACTCAGTTTGTGCGCGGGAATGTATCTTTAAGTATGGCTTCACGTTGTACATTCATAGACCTCCTCGGTTACAAAATGGTATTGTGCTTGGTAACGATAAGAGGATACTTATCGAAACGCCGTGCTTGTGTATATAAAACCATACCACTGTGTTAGTTCTACAATAAAAGTATTGGAATATTTGGTATAATTTCAAAGTAGAAAGACCCAATCTTACTTTAGAGAAGTACTGGATTCCCGGAAAAACACCCATAGGGAGCCCACAAGATGAGATGGTTTCACTAACTGGTAGCCTGTCTCATCGAGTGTCGATCTATAATGGCTAACGGTTTTGAGAATATTTAGAGACTTAAACGTTCAGTAGACTCTGCAATTAAACGACAGAAAATGAAGTTCTCGGAGGATAATCCAAGAATTTACTTAGGCTGCGATATTTATGGTAAATGGACAGCGACTAACGGCAAATACAAACTGATTCAAGTCACGTGATAAACGGGGATTCCTGAAATAGATTCTTGTGACATGGGGTAATTTTCTTCGAATTCAAATGTTTTGAAAGTGATTTGAAGCAAACTTTTGACGAATAAATTAGTTTGAATATGTTTTAGTCCAAATATATCATCAAATCACACCGGGCTCGAGAGGGACATCCAGGTTAGCGAAATAACTTCTTACTCAACGAGCCACCGCGGCTCCCTGAAAGGCAAAAATGGGGTTTAGCATACTATTTTTGTGTTCCATCCTGGCGAATGAATATAATACTATAGGGCCTATATACAGTTTATTTAAGTTCTGTAAAATACTCTGGTTAATGTATTGAAGTTGTTAGCTAGTACCAGTGACAACGAGAACTAGGTTAACAGGGATAAGTCTGGTAGTTTAAAATCGGGCAATAACATACTAGTCTGATAATCCAAATATGGTAATCCCATGCGTTAGAAACGTGGTTAGTCGCCCTCCTAGGTGCCCATATAAGTACACTGTGTTGAAATCCAGGGTAGCGTCTGTGCATCTGACCAATCAGATAAGCGAAGTACCTGGTCAATTTCCCGGGGCTCTATACTGACTCATGCACGCATCATCTTTATATAAGAAAGAGCGAGTTTATTTTCACTTTAGACATTGTTGAGAGGCTAGGAGATAGACACCATTCGGAGCTCGGGAAAATTATACCCATATATGGCCTCCTCGGCTTAGAGGCGAGGGCGAAGACACAATCCTGGCGAGAACATCATGTAGAACTAACATTAAGTGTGTGGCTCTTGCCACGTTTAAGCCGTTATGGTCTGAGTTAGAAAGGATATTAAACTCAGACCGTGGATATTTTAATAACTCGAAAAGTAATATCATAGCTATTGTAGTTTCCTGTATTTAACTTTGTAGTTTGCTGTATTTGTTATATAAACTTAGTAACAACATAAACAGTGTTTCAGACTTAATTGATCATTAGAAATAGTTATCACAACGTGAAGTCAAAAAAAGTCCTAGACGATAGTGTCCCCCTAGTGTCACGGGCCGTATCACAAAGTGGAAGTAATTCATAATTCATCTATTTAACGACACACCGTAGTGTCACATGAAGACGAGAATATGCCATTAAGTGCTATCGTGTGATCCGAATGGCTAAAAGACTTTTCATACCAAACACTCCAACCTACTAAGAGACTTCATCCAACACCACTAACAAAGCCCGCATACATTATGTAATATACATGCATTATCTTATCTATATACTTCCACAGTAATACTCAAATAAATTTTGAGCAGAGACTTCAGTAATTTCAAAACCAAATATTTCTTAAAGAACTGTCACGTATTTTAAACAGTCTAATCCTATTAAAAGGAAGAACCCTATTAATAATACAGGGATATATTATATTCTTGCTTTTGCGCGAACGTTTATCCAGGGAAATAAGATAACCTACATGATGCATGAATTCTGAAACCGGTTTGAAAGGAAATATACCCAATTCTAAAATTAGTCTATATTTTTTCTTAAGAAATAAACCATTTATTTTCTGTGAGTCGAGGGGGTTGGATGGCTGAATGGTTAGCGTGCGCGCGCTGTATCATAAAGTCTGTCATTGAGTCGACTGGCGTGGTTTCGAATCCCCGGTTGTACGTGACAAGGAGTAGGGTCGCCTGTCCAACCTCTTGGGTTTTCTACGGGTCCTCCGGTTTCCTCCCACTGCTAAAGACCCCTATGCGCAAGCGAATTATTGAAATAAAATTAAACCATATGTTAGTCCCGAAATGACCTAGTTTGTGTCGAGTGGACGTTAAACCTCATTTCACGCTCTCTCTCTCTGTGAGTCGAAATACTCTGATCTTTTTTAAATGTATACATGAGTTGTTTAACTCATAACAACCCGGATGGCTTAGTTACTGTGATGGACGTAAGGCTTCGTTGCCTGGCAGCCTTTATATTTCTATTAATAATATCCGCGGTAATGCATAAAAAGCACCCAAATTCATGATCAATGTTTTACCAAGACAGTGACAGGGGATTTCTGAAAATACCATGATATTTATATAATTTCAGAACATAACAACTCGACACCCTCGGATTCAATCAAACATCTACTGTTGTTTACGCCCGAAGATTACCAATCCCGCGTGGTGTCTCTGGTGTCAACCAAAACAAAGATGTCTGCGTCCAGGAATCTGCATGAGTTAGATCGATTTAGTTTGCTAATATCTGTGTGAAAATTGTGAATAAGTGTTGTGCTAAAGAGAGAAAGGGACAATACAAATATTTTTCTAGCTAGGTTAGGGTAGAAGAATAATTTTGCAAGTAAGCTATATGAGTCGAATGTTGAAAAGGCAAGGGCATACTCATCCATTCGCTAAATCAGAATTTGCACACTGAACGAAATAAACTAAACGATTCATTTGTGTCGAGTGCAGAATGTAGATCCTATTCGTCCAAATTCTCTAGCTATTATTAATGAATCTTATTATGTTAGGTTTTGAAACGAGTGGTGTAGTGTGCAATGGCGATACGGAATTTATAAGTGTAAAGAAATTCAGAGGAAAGTTATTGTTATCTGCCGGAGGCCTTAGCTATAATAGACTATAGTATTACGCCAGATATTAAACTGCACTGAGTGATAACCTATTTATTAGGTAATTAGTAACAGTTACAGTTACAGTTTGGATCTACGAAGGACACAATATTCCTATTTGTTTTAGATAAGACGGCAAACTGATATCATATCTTTGTTTTCAAGTTTCTAGTAAGTATGATTCTCATTTCATATGATACACACATAGATAGACTAGTAGAGTAAGTACTAAAGTAGTAGTAAAATATAATAGTCAGTCACTTTCGCAGTATCAAATCCTCTGGTCTTGACTTAGTTCAGCTCTGAACGTAGGTCTCATTACACTCGCTCTATAGGTTCAGGAACTGGCCTACTGACTCCCTGTCGAAAGCTTTTCAGTTCCCAGTAAATTTTACTGGGCAACTTTTTAATGCTTAACCGTCGTGTGTCAGTTCCTGTATGCCTCTATAATGTAAAGGAACATTTTAATGAGAAAATAAGACCTTGCTTACCTCGCTAGAGTCAGTATGTTCGACTGAAAATAGAAGTCAATAGGCTGGTTCTGAATGTACAGGTCGAGTGTAACAAGAACTTACGTTCAGAGCTGAACTAGCCTGGACTTTGCAATCACTATTAGCAGTATTAGCACTAAAACAAAATACTGAAATAGAATTTTTACAATACTATACTGCAGTGAAATATTTGTATCATTATTGTTAATAATTAGGGTGAATCCTAGCGTATTCATTACCAGGCTAATTCATTACCGGTAAAATCGGCGTATTCATGACCAGTATATTATAGGGTTGATTGGTCGGTATATAAAGGTGCTAATTAGTAATCATCAGTGCCAATGTCTATGGGTGTTAATTAATCAATTAAGACAAGACAATAGAAGGATTAACAAGGTATTTATTATATAATTTAAATAGTCATAAAACAAACAACAGTTGAAATATTTCATATTCGAAGACTATATTTACATATAAAACATCGTATTCAGTTGATGCGATTAATAATAGCCATAGTTTCGTATTCATCTTTGAACTGTGTATTGTGTATAACTTAAGATGTTAGGCCCTACACATAAGAATATTGAAGTTGACTAAATTAAAACATCAAATACGGTGGTAAGAATATTAAATACGGTAAGAATATGAAAGATGTTTCGTTGCTTATAGAAATTGATGTTTCGGTTCTGTTGATTTTTTAAAAGTTACTTATTACGTACGGCTTTATACAAGGAGTACATGTCCATTTAATCTCTTCTAACCCTTTCACCGCTCTTCTATATGCTGCCTGAGATATATCTAAAGAGAACAAAATTATTTAAAATTTAGTGAATGGGTTCAATATTTTATGAATATAAGTTCGAGTAAGTATAGTTTAAAATACAAAATAACAAAGCCGGGATTTACAATCTCAAGCTTAAGATTAAATAATTTAAACAACTCAATAATAAAAAAAAACAATTTTAATACATCAAACACCAATCATTATTTAATAATTATCGTATAGGCTTCTATCCACACTGATGAGTACTAATTAGCACCTTTATACACCGACCAATCAATCCTATAATATTCTGGTCATGAATACGCCGATTTTACCGGTAATGAATTAGCCTGGTAATGAATACGCATGATACCATTAGGGTTAGGTATCTTCAGATGAATGCCAGTTAACCCATCCACAAGCAAATTTGTTCACACGAAAAGTCTGCTGGTTTTATCCAATATTGATTATTGTAATGGTTTTTAATCATTTTAATCTGCACTAAAGACATTCCTGATTCGACAGTTTTACCAGTAGAGCCATTACTAAAAGCGTTTTCAGCATGGGTCAACATGGAGAAGAAGCTATATAATTAAACCTCATTATTATTAATATTATTATTTATTATTATTAAGCTGTCAATGTAATTTAATATACTTTTCTTATAAAGGAGATATTATGAACTCTTCTTATCACAAACTTTTATCCATCAAATAATTTATATTCAGATTTCATATCAAGTCAATTAAATGTTGTTTAATCATTAAAATGCCAATTAGCAAACAATCTACAAGTATACTTTATTACAAAAACATCAGTGTACTGACCTAAAATGTTGTCTAAACATTAAAATCATATCGCCAATTAACAATCAATTCGAGTAGACTTTATTACAAAAACATCCGTGAACTAATCCAAATCTATAATCATAACAGCAATTAAATAACAATACAAATATACTTTACTACAAAAACATCGGTAAACTGACCTAAAGTCTAAAATCATAACGCCAATTAACAAACAATACGAATATACATATACTTTATTACAAAAACAGCGGTGAACTAATCTTGGTCGTGATCGGTAATCAATGAGTAAAACTTATTTATTCCATACATTTAAATTGTGTACGAGTCAAGTATTAGTTGTGGTTGACTTAACCATTAATAGTGGACGACATAACCAATGCCTTGTGGATGACTTGACCAACAGTTGTGGATGACTTAACCAACAGTTTTGGACGACTTAACTGTGGAAGACTGCTTGTGGATGACTTAAATGGCACTCTTCTCATAGACACAAAATCAATAGAGAACTTATGCATCAGCTTTATCTGCAAGCTTAGAAATATAGCACCTGTCAAACAGCGTTGAGTACAAATTCAGGCCTTGGTCGGCACACTACAGTAGGTACGTACATGTACCTGTCATTTTAATATACCGGTAAATTCAATTTTTTTTGTATTTAATACATGCCTGGCACAAAATATAACATATTTTCCATCAGTGTACAGTCCACTTTTAATTGGATAAGCTTAAACTTACTAAACATTGTCTGACTGTATGTAAAAGAACCCTTCAATAAGAGTGGGCCATACATAGTGCCACTGTCCTGCCAAACTTTCCCACATATGTAGCACACTGTATGGCGTACATGTATGCCGGTCTTAAACCCCATTTTTTTCATATAAAGTGCTAAAAATACAACAATGCAATTTTGAATATGAAATAGATTGTATAATACTGAAAGACATCCATCTAATTGACTCGGAAATATCAAGATAAAACCTAAATATTTTTAGAGTACAGTTATTGGTCATGAATTATCACTTTTTTTGAACCAATTTAATTATCATTGGATTTTAAATTAAAGTGAAGAGGTTTAAATATCATAAAAGAAGAAATGTCCTTTGACTTGGTATAACTTGACCTAATGTACATGTATTAATACCACTGCTGGTGGTGTAGAAAGGATTGAATACATTTTTATTATATCACATAGAGCTATTGAAACTTGTTCTTTCAGAATAAATGATATGAAAAGAAAAGTTGGAAAGACTCATGTTTTAATGTCATGCTTTTCAGGAGTTTTATGCAAGGTCCTTCATATGAATTTTATGCAAGGTTCTTTTTATGAATTTGAGGTATAATATTATTAAAGAATCTGGCCATAATTTTTTTCTAATTATCTAATTATATACGTACATGTAACATGACCCTACATGTACATGTAGGCAGATATTCACTGCTCATGTACATGTAAATTAGAACAGTAAACAGATTTTAACTACCATAGTCAGACAATTAAACAATGGAGCCAGACCACCTGCTACATGTATAAGAGGATTACATGTATCTATCATTCGTGTGTTTTAATTGGATTATGGCCCCAAATTGGGTAATCCAACAATAATACAATTTAATCCATATCTCTTTGACAGTTGATTAAAGAAAGGTAGCAGACTTTGTCTATGATTTTAAAGTCTTTTAAATTAACAGTCAATCAGATTAATACATGTAGGTGCCGATGACATAGGGATCTAACTTCAGATGTATAACAGGTACTGAAAAAATGATAAGAAAACAGGGTGTTATTTTGTTTGAACTGTTCCATAGGTATTTCTGTTAACTATCAAAATACTAATAGCCACCTGAAGTACCAGGCAAAAAGTAAGTGACAAGAAGTAGGGTCATATGTCGTCAGTGGCGGCGTGCCCATTGGGGCCCGAGGGGCCTGGGCTACCCTAAATTCTCAGGGAAATAAAAATATTTTTATTGATATTATTAAGACAGAAGACCTGTCTGTCTGTTTTAGTCATCACATGGCCTCCAGAATTGTATAATTTGTCATTATCCGTGTTTAGTTTATTGCACTTTAGTTTAGATATCATTTGTTAAGGCTTGCCATAGAGCTATATTTCTATATAACTCTATGGGCCTCGCTCAACAGCGGATTCACTTCGTACACTCTATCATTTAGCCTCGATCTAAAATTTCCAGGAGTTAATCTCCGCTCACAACGCCATTTAAAAATTTAATCAATCAATGAAGTCCTGTTTAAATCCAAGGGTCTACGTACAGAGTTGATTTTGTGCTTGTTGTGTAAATCCCTATTTATGATTGTATGTTGTATTTGATAAAATATCCATATACGGGTGTCAAAAATAAAGACTGAAAGTATTTTTTATTAAAATACAAATACATCTAAATACGTATTTGACCATGCATGAAGTTGTTCGAAATGTTCATTCAATAATTAAATCGAAGTTGAGATGAATAAAATATAAATTACAATTATCAGTACAAAAACGACCATTTTTCAATCATAACTTTATTGTCTCTAATCCATCGAAATGGCATTTCCCGGCTTCTAATTTTAAAAATTTTCCGCGGAAGGGCCCCCCGTACCCCCCTTGCATGCACATGCCTGTTGCATTCGATGTTGGCGGCGCTGTCGCCAACACTCTTCGCAGCCAGTAAATTTAATTTACCATGAAAAGGAACACACTTGCAGAAAGTTGGGCCCCCCTAAAAAAAATTTTTGCACGACGCCCCTGTATGTTGTGTGTTTTCTCTGGATCACCTGGTCTCCTCTCACTGCTAATGTCTTCTAGGCACAAGCCAATTATTGAAATAAAATTGAACCAATTGTTTGTTCTGAAATGATCTAGAAGTGGACTTAAACCCTATTTCTCTCTCTCTCTCCCCCTCTCTCCTTCTCTCTATCAGTATTGCCTGATTGTTTTGCCTTTTTTGGTTAATTTATTTTATCTAATTACTTTGAACATTGAAGTCAAGTGGTTTTGATATATTAACACTAAAGATGGACGGGATCATGGTCAGACATGGACAGATTGCTATATAATCTTATCATGAATATTAGTGGTTTAAAGAGAGCCTACACATTTTGTAGCGGTG